CGATTCCGGAAATACAGCGCTGTCATTTAGCTCCAGTGGTTTTGCAGCTGAAAGCTCTTGGCATTCAAAATGTGCACAAATTTCACTATCTTTCGGTATGTATCGCGTATTTTTCACTAGGTTTTGGAGAGCAATTATACCGCTTTTTGAAGAGACCCCCGTCTTGGTCTATGATCAACGCTCTCGAGCTACTGTACGCACTTGGCGCTTTGGATGAGAAGTGAGCTCTCATGATTTTTATAATTTTTTCGTCAACTTCGGATAAAATATTTTTATGAGTAAATACTTTCGATACAAGTTTCCTACATCTTCTCTAAATTAGATCTATGCTCACTAACCCGTTGGGACTCCGCATGTCTGAGTTTCCTCTACCACCAATGCACAGCAAATGTCTTCTGACTTCAGGTACTGTTCCCTGCAAAGACATGCTGTAGTTTGTTATGCTTGAACTTTTGCGTATATATTATTTCAGGCGATTTTGGTTGCAGTGAAGAGATGGCATCAATTATCGCTATGTTGCAGGTACAAGATGTGTTTACCCCGCCTATCAGGAATAGACAACGGGCGGTGAGTTGTGTATCGACTGTAATTATATTTCATTGTTTCTTCATTTACTTTCCACAGCTCTTTTTCCCTTTCACCCATTTTTGTACGATTGTTTTCTATATTAAGGGTTAAGTTATGTGGACTGTATTTAGGAAGAAATCAAAAGACGCTTCGCTGCTGAGGAAGGTGATCATATAGCCCTGCTCAATGTATACACGATGTTTGTCAAGGTACTTTGCCTAGTTATGTAGTTTAGATCCCCACAATTTATGCTTTTGTCTGTAAATTACTAGCAGAATTATTTACCCAATATATCTCTCTAATAGCCAGTCACAACAAAGCGCCCATCTTTGTTTTTGTGTAATCAAGGTCTTCTATAACCTTAACTTTACAATTTTTAGAACAATCGAAGCCGTAAATGGTGTGGTGATCACTTTCTCAACTACAGAGGTCTATGCCGTGCTGACAATGTCCGCTCGCAGTTGGTTAGATTATTAAGGCGATTTGATGTGCCTTTGGTGTCAACGAGAGGGGAAACCGGTGAGTCTACTGAAATATAATACTGGCTTACTTCTGTTGCGATGTGAAACTTTCTTCTACTTTTTTTATGCCAGGTGGGACGGCAAAAATACTGAGATGTCTTGTCTCTGGCTTCTTCTCACAAGCGGCAAGATACCATTACACTGGGAAGTATGTAACTGTCAAAGAAGAATTTCCCTTCAATGTATACAAAGGATCAGTTATCATGTACAAGAAAGATTATCCAAAATGGTTGGTTGGGAACATTTTTTTGCATAATGTGTAATAGAATTAGTACGTTTAGGGTAATCTTCACAGAAGCTATGCAAGATTCTATCAGAGATATCTCAGTGATTGAGCCACATTGGCTATATGAACTTGCGCCTCACTATTATGAATTTGGAACAGTGAGTTATCTCAATTTTGAACTTTTAATTTTTTTCTTTTAAAATAGTGCGTTATGA